CTTATTGTAGGGTGTGTGTGTGTCCTCACAAAGATGTGCACAGGCCCCCCACTAAGCATGTAGTCAGAGTTCAACTTTGTGGGTTGTTAGGCTTATGCATTGTTATTCACTAGCCACCTTGTCAGTTCCAGATTGTTTAAGAGAGTCAGCTTTCCAGTTGGTATGATGGGAATGATAAATAATACCTCTATTGTATGTATCTCCAACATTGCCAAAACAAAGTACAAGTCCAAAATAATTCATCAAATAAAGATAGCTGGGGACTGTAGTCTGATTTTTCTTTGGGCCACCAACCCACAAATAACAGCATTGAGACATTGATTATGAAAGCTCCACCTTTAATTTAGGCTTGTCCCCAACTACCTCTTATAACTTAATTTAACCCATTTATATTAATCTATGTTCTGTCACGTGGCGTTTGCTCTCCATGTCTCCTGACATCTGCTGTGCACCTGTATTCCTCCTCCTCTTATCTCTCTACCTGGAAGTCCCTCCTATAACTCCTGCCTACTGTTCAGCTTTTTATTAAACCCATGAGAAAGTGTCTTAGTAAAGGCATATCTTCACAGTGTGCAAAAACAAGGGGAGGGAAAGCTCAAGGTAGAACATTGCTTAGCATGTGCATGACTGAGTTCAGCCCTACCACAAATTAGTTATCAATACAGGGACAGTAAAGCTGCTGTTACGCGGGAAACAAGATAATGTGATCTGTAGTTTGAAATCCATCTTGGATAATCTTAAGCCCATATTTTTAAGATTTTTTTTAAAAGATTTATTTATTATATATACAGTGTTCTCTCTGAATGTTTGCCTCCACAACAGAAGAGGGCACCAGATCTCATTACTGATGATTGTGAGCCACCATGTGGGTATGGGGAATTGAACTCAGAACATCTGGAAGAGCAGTCAGTGCTCTGAACTTCTGAGCCATCTCTCTAGCCTCATCAAGCCTAGATTTTTTTTTTTTTTTCTGAGCTGTTTGTTTGTTTGTTTGTTTTTTGAGACAGGGTTTCTCTGTATTGCTTTGGAGCCTGTCCTGGAACTAGCTCTGTAGACCAGGCTGGCCTAGAACTCACAGAGATCTGCCTACCTCTGCCTCCCAGGTGCTGGGACTAAAGGCTCAGCACCTCAGTTCAATTCTGAGCACCCACCTGGTGGCTCACAACCATCTATAATGAGATCCAATGTCTCTTCTGGTATTCAGACAAAAACACACATGTACATAAAACACATAAACAATTTTTTTTTCCTTTTTTCAAAAAAAAAAAAAACAAAAAGAAAAAGAAAAGATCTTGAAGAAAGAATCAGGCCTGACAAAACACAACCTGAGCCAGGAAAAGCTTGTATCTTAAAAGCATGGGTTCTGCAGGCAGACTGCCTAGGTTTGTGTTTGTGCCTTAGTCATGTAACCCTGGATCAGTCACTTAAAAGCTCTTCCCTGTCCTGGGCCTTCATCCTTACAGCAGCAGAGATGGAGATACAGTGTGGGGGGCTCCAGGAGTGAACCTTCCAGAGCACTTAGTGCAGTCCTTGGTCAAGGGAAATGTTCTTACATCTGGTTTTGTTTTGTGTAAGGAGCCGTGTAAAGCCAGTTGAGTACAGCCAGATGTACAGTTACAGCTACAACCAGTATTACCAGCAGTACCAGAGCTACTATGCCCAGTGGGGCTACGACCAGAACACAGGCAGCTACAGCTACAGCTACCCCCAGTATGGCTACACACAAAGCACCATGCAGGTAACCATGGGTGGCAATTCTTGGGTCCCATTTCCCCTCCAGGAACCATTATTTTATCATTAGTGAAATTGGTTTGGGATTTTAAAAAGTTGTGGATGACTAGAGAGAACCGGTTGTGCTCTTCAAAAGCCAGCCAGGATTTTCTCAGGCTCCTCAACTGCCCTGTCTTCTCTTGACAGACATATGAAGAAGTTGGGGACGATGCACTGGAAGGTAAGAGTCCCTTCATGCTTCTGTTAGCTGTTAGCAGGTGCCCCCTATGGGGCCCTCGGCTACATGCCCAGGAACACCAAGGACCCATGTGCTGTCTAATGGGCGTGGACACAACTGGTATTGAATGTTATAAAGAAATGAGTGCTGCTCCCTGGAAACTCATTACTACTCCCAAGCTGTGCTACTCTGCCCTACCCAGTGGCTGTGTAACAGTAATATTGTTATTTTGTATTTGTTCTTTTGTTTATTTTCAGTTAGTGTGCATTGGTGTTTTGCCTTCATATATGTCTGTATGAAGGTGCCAGATTTCCTGCATCTGTAGTAACAGTTGTAAGCTGTCCTCTGTAAGAGCAGCCAGTATCTTAACCAATGAGCTATCTCTCCAGGGCCTACTATGTATTTGTTTACCAGTTTGTAAAATTAATTTTTTGTGTAAATTTTCTTCTTCTTCTTCTTTTTTTTTTTTTTTTTTAGTTTATCTTTTCTTATGGAACTCAGGGACTCATAGTATGTTAGGCAAGTGTTCATTACAGAGCTACACCCACACCCATCCCCTCCACACTTGTTTACAAGTATTTGAAATGACATGTTTTCTGATTAAAATAATAAGATCCTGCCATAGTGGTGGTGACATCCCAGCAGAGACAGGCAGGATGGATCTCTGAATTCTTGTTCCAGGACAGCTAGGGAAGAGCATGTTGTTTCTCCAACCCCAGATAATTTTGGATTTGTTATGCAGCCCTGGCTAACCTCGAACTAACTATGTACACCAGGCTACACTTGAACTCGCAGAGATCCTATCAGCCTCTGCCTCCCAAGTGCTAGGATTAAAGACATGCACCAAAGCCAGGTGTTGGTGGCCCATGCCTTTAGTTCCACCACCAGGGAGGCAGAGACAGGCAGATCACTGAGTTCTAGGCCAGCCTGGTCTACAGAGCGAGTTCCAGGACAAGCTCCTAAACAATACAGAGAAACCCAAATCCTAGCATTTGGGAGGTTGGTATTAGAGTCAAGGCGAGTGTCAGCAGTGGGTTTGAGACCTAAAAATAGTTCTCCAAGAAAAATCAATGGGATTCAAATTTTAAGGAAAAAACAAAAACTGAAATACACTAGAAATCACCCTAACCCCACAGTAGTCTTTGTTTTGGATTGAGGTATCTGGCCAGGCTGGCCTCTACTGTATAGCTGTGGATAACCTTGAATTCTTGTTCCTCCTGCCTTTGACCTTCAAGTGCTAGGATTATAGGCCTACAGCACCTCACCCACACCCAGCCACTAGTTTTCTGAAATACCAGTTGTTGAGGGTCTTTTGTGGGGGGTGGTTCACTCCCCTTTTGAGACAGCATTTCCCTGTGTAGCTTTGGAGCCTGCCCTCACACATGCTCTGTAGACCATGCTGGCCTTGAACTCACAGCGATCTGCTTGCCTTCTCCTCTAGATTGCTGGATTCTAAGATACCCTGGAGGCAGGAATTTGAACCCCCCTTCCAGGTGTTTTGTTTACCCATGTAACCTTATCCTTGCTTTTTCCTCCAGACCCAGCGCCACAGCTGGATGTGACTGAGGCCAACAAGGAGTTCATGGAACAGAGTGAGGAATTATATGACGCACTGATGGACTGTCACTGGCAGCCCCTGGACACTGTATCCTCAGAGATTCCTGCCATGTTATAGCCAGGACATACGGATAGGCTGTTACCAGGACAATGACTTTGTGTGTGCAAAGGTTTTATCACTTTGAAAATGGTTTATAAGATTTTAGTAAAATACTGTTTCCTCAGGATTTGTTGTTAAGTTATGGTGAGTCATTGAAGGAAATGGTTAACAGGAACTTGGTAGATCATATGACACTTAAAAACCTTGGCTGGAGTACTAGAAATGGCTCTCTCTGGTTGAAGGCACTGACCTCCAAGAGGACCAAAGTTCTTTTCCCAGCTCCCTATTCAGGTAGCTGTCCTGTCCTGCATGAAACTTCAGCTGCAGACCACCTACACATCTGCTTCTGTAGGTATCCAGACACAAACCCATATAGAAATGTAGGTATCCAGACACAAACCCACATAGAAATGTCAGGTCACTACAGCACAGGTTGGATGCTTCTGACTATACCAGTCTGCTGTTAAGACAACTGTAGTATAAACCTCTAATCTGCAACGCAAAGTGGCATAATCAGAATAAATGCAGACAGTCCAACGTGGGTCACAAAAATTGACTTCCCTCATATTTTTGGACATGTTATTTGGGTAGTTTATGACTGCCTTTTTACAGAATTGGCTGTCATGCTACTAGCTGTTACATAACAAGCTAGCCTTGAATTCAGATAGACCTAGTCCACCATGCCTTAGCAGCATATGGTAGTTGTCAGCTAAAAGACCGGACTCCACAGGTCATGCTTGCATATTTGGTCACAAGATAGCAGACCAGCTTGAACAGGACCTTCTTGCCTTGCTAGAAGAGCCACTGAGGAACTGTTATCAAGTCCCAGTGAGTTGCAGGCCCATGGCCATCCCTGCCTGCCAGCATGTATCTACTGTGTCTATACAGTCCTGTCTTGCACAATTTTAGGAGTATGGGACACCGGCATTGGGTTGGGAAGGCTCAAGCAGTGCCAGTCAGCCTTTTTAACTATAGTCTTTGCAGCTCCTACAGCTAACAGCCACGTCCCCAGCCATGGTTAATCCTCTCAAACTCCAAAACCTCAAACTTGCCTTGATCATGGTGGCCTCATACTGGGAAAACTACAGTGCACATAGGACAAAGCTAAAGGTTGTGATAATACTCAAAACACAACATAGGAGCAAACACAGGAGGACAGGTAGCCTTTCCTTCTCTTGGCTCCCAATGAGGCCCCCCAAGAAGCTCCCTAAGCATTAAGTGTCAGGGACATGATCCTGTAGTTCACACTGGGGGGTGGGGGAGAGTAAGCAGTAAGCACTTCTGGGAACCCAAACACTCCAAGTTGCTCCTCTGGATTCACATCATACATTTTCAGTTACAAGTGAAAATGATGGCAATTGAATCACTTTAAAAAAAAAAAAAAAAATCATAGGACACTTTCATGAGTCTTTATTGATTGATCCAATTACCTGTTAAATAACAAAGCATTTCACTCTTTAAGACAGAATTCTGAGTAGCCCTTGCTGTTTCCTAGAATTAGTTCTGTAGACTGGACTTCACAGCAAGGTGTGTACCGCCAAAAGGTGCTAAGTATTCTGCTTGCCTCCAGGTTGGTCCTGTTGGTTTCCTGAGAAAGAAGTGTAATTCTGTGTTAGTTCTGACCAAGCTCAATCCCCACCCTCAAGCTTTTTCTATGAACCGGTCTCAGTCCCATATCCGCATTTCTCATCCATAGATGTCCACTCAGATTAGGTTTCATCCTAGACCAGTCTCAACTCTACCTATTCCCTCCTCATAATCTAACTCCCTGGTTGCAGGGATAGCAGACTGTAGAAGTTCATGACGGCTTAGCAGAATGTCGTCATTCATGGCCTAGCCAGCAAGCATCTTTGTCCCGGAGTGTGAGCAGCACACAGGAGACATCAATTACTAAGATGCTGACCTTTTAACACACAATTTAATCTTATAATTCTGCTATACTACTCAGGGACAGGCCTCATTCCAGCCCTTAACTTACCCAACCAACTGTAGACCAAATCCAGAAGTGAGTCCTTCACTGGAGACAAGGATCTAAAATTATAAATTACAGAAATCAAGGTGCTTTGTCAACAACAGACACTTTTAATTCTCTATACCATTTACCAAGAACCCAGGCATGTATGTATGAATCTGACCCAATGCTCTATACTGGACTACATAGCTATGAGGCCAGTTTCAGTGTACTATCCCTCCTTTTACGACCACCAAGACCAGCATCAAGATCCGATGGGAAAGGGAACCAGAGGGTCAGGCTGTCTGACAGCATCTTTACCTCAGTGTATTCAATGCTCAGAGGCAATCAGGCTGGCTTCTCAGACCTTTCCAAATGCCTTGGGTGTAACCTGGAGAAAGAATAGCACTTTTGTGAATAGCCAGAGACAGAACAATGACCCAAGGAGAAAATTACCCACCCCAGGCCCAAAATATATAGGAAAGCCGAGTGGCAGTTCCAGGCACTGTGATGACCTGGGCTGTCAAAAGTCTCTCCAGTTACTCTGGCATGCAGTTGGAGAACTCATGGCCACAACCAGCCATAGCCCTTGGGAACATGCTGCATTTCTCACCAGGTCATCTCAACACCACCACTTACCAGGCTCTACTTCAGCCTTTATTCAGTCACATCTTCTGGTCTCCTCATCACCATGATCTTCATGAACTCATCTGGCACAGCTAAGAATGTCAACACAATTATTCATAACAATCATTATTCCCTGCATCATGGCTATGTAAGATGTTCAACAGGTGAACACACTTGAAGCTGCCTTGCCTTCGTATGTTCTTAGGCTCAGCAAACTATTTCCAAGTCCTATTTTACTAACTCCACATTAAAAGACAAGATTTTTGTTGGACTGTATAGAATAGTTAAGCTGATGTTGATACATCTGAGAAAGCTCAAGGAGGAGCTGTCTTTTCCCAAAATGTTGCAGATCAGTTACAGTAAACTGAACCGCGACCGTCAAGGAAAACTTTCTCTGGGCCTCCTTTTTGACCACAGCAGCTATATAGAAGCAGCTGCAGCTTCGATAAGGGCCACAGGCAGTGATGAGAATTACAATGCAAAAAACTAAAGTGATCCTGTGAGCTCCAAAGGCTCCAACAGTTAAACATAGTATTAAAACATTGAGACAGGTTTTTGACTAAGCTTAAAACTCATGACCGCCCTTGATCCAACCAAGATCTCAACTAACTTGCTTTAATTATCAGTGTAAGTTTAAAATGGCCGCTATGCAGTCAGAAATAGAAAACCGAGCGGTGGTTGCGTATGCCTTCTAATCCCAGCACTCCGGTGTTAGTCAGCCTAGCCTGGTCTACACAGCGCTTTCCGGGACAGCCAAAGATAGTGAAAAACGTTACCACGGGGTTAAAAAGCTTCCCGAAAAAAAATCTTGAGGGCCACGGTCGAGATAGGGATCACGTTGTACGTGCCAGAATCCAAGCATTTGACCAATACCTTGTATCCATCAGAGTAAATCTCGAGGAACCAGGCGCGAGGTTAAAGAGGCAAAAAGTGACTCGTTAGTCACTGTCGCAAGGCCTCTTCCTTGGCGTCATGCCATAAGATCATCGCAGCCAAGAACTTATCCCTTCAGCCCGCAAATGCCGTAACCACATCCCACCACCAAACCAATGGTGGGCGTCACTCACCCTTCCAAGGGCGCGGTACGCAGGCCACGGACTATCACTGCGCAAGCAGTCATCGGGGCCAACTTGTAGGCCTCCGCCGTCGATAGAGAAGTGCCGCCATCTCCACGGCAGGTTGCGCATCCCGCAGCATTGGGGGAAAAATACGGAGAGTGCAGTCAGAGGGAGGACTGCGGAGGGAATGGAAAGATGTAGACAACGAAGCCGACATCACACAAGCACGCGTGTGCTGGGAAAAAGGACGAGAACGGGCCCGCAGCCGGCTTATATACGCTCCCGCCTCCGCGGCCGCGCCTGCGCCCTCATCCCGCCGCGCCTGCGTTTTTGCCGGCCGCATGGCCCTCTGGGAAATGTAGTCCTCTCAAACCGCAGGATCCTGTTCTGAGCCGGCCCTAATTGAGGTGTGTTGAGGCTGACATCCGGGCCACAACAAGCTGGACTCACACCCGGGACCTGCTTCCGTCCCTGCGCCGCCCTGCGCCGAATCTTACAGAGTTCTTCGCTCCGAGCATCCTGGAACGCTGGAGATAGTTAGCGTCCTGGACTTCTTGAGGAAGGCTATTGAGGAATTTATTCTATAGACCAGACTGGCTTCGAACTCACAGAGATCCGTCTGCCTCTTTTTTCCCGAGTGCTGAGATAAAGGCCTGAGCCACCAATGCCCGGACCCACCTTGTTTTTTAAGACAGGGTCTCTCACTGGCTCTGAGTTTGTCAAGTAGAGTAGGGGAGTGCCCCAGATATCTTCCCGGGATATCTCCTCCTCCCAGTGCTAGGATTACAAATTCTAGGGATGGAATCCAGGTCCTTAGATTTGGGTAGCAATCACTTTACCAGCTAAACTATCACTCCAGCCCGTGTAGGTTTTTCTGCCTTCCTCATGAGAATGGGAGCTCTCCAAGAACAAGAATGTTGCCTCTGTCCTCTCTGTGCTGTATGTGTGCTAGGATATAAAAGATAGGATTGGGGCTGGAGAGATGGCTCAGAGATTAAGAGCATTGGCTGCTCTTCCAAGAGGCCCTGAGTTCAAATCCCAGCAACCACATGGTGGCTCACAACCATCTGTAATGAGATCTGGTGCCCTCTTCTGGCCTGCAGGGATACATGCAGGCAGAACCCTATATGTATAATAAACAAATAAATCTTAAATAAATAAATAAAAATAAAAAGATAGAATGGGCCAGAGAGAGCTCTGAGAGCAAAGCAATGGCAGTGCAACTCTAAAACCTGAGTTTTAGAGTTGAGTTCAGCCCAGCGTTAGTGGCGCATGCCTTTAGTCCCAACACTCGGGAGGCAGAAGCAGGCAGATCTCTGTGAGTTCTAGGCCAGGCTAGTCTACAAGAGTTCCAGGACAGCCTCAAAGCGTCGAAAAACAAAACAGAAAGTTGTCCGTAAAGTTAGCTACTGCCCTCCATGTGGATGCCTTGGCAGGAACGCACAATAACAATAATAATGATGAATTAAAGTATTTTAAAAGATAGCCAACACTTTCTGAAATAATCACCTAGTGAGGATAGGAGAGATGAAACTTGACTGTCTGTGATTGCATAACCAGTAGGTAGCTCTTGAACCACAGATCTCCCCAGGGGAAATGTGCAGAGCCTTAGCTACTGTGGTATACGGTTCTGTCTGAGCCACCTCGTGTAAATTTGCTTTTAGCAGATGAGGCACAGGGAAGGGAAATGGCTAGCCCTGCTCTATGGCATGGGTCAGCTGACATGGGTTCTAGTGCCAGGTACAATCAGAGGCAGACACATGACCCCAGCCCTTGTGGGATTCTCTGAAGCAAGAAGTTCAAGGAATCTGATGCTGACACTGCACAGCCCAGAAGGGCGGACCAGGGTGCTGTGCAGCCTGTCTTTGGGAGACTTCATTTCCATTTCCAGCTGTTTCATGGCTCTTGGAACTTGCCCAGCTGTGCTGCCTAGAATTATTTAGGGGTGTGACATAAATGGCTTTTTGTTTCTTGTTTAGACTCAGTGAGAAGAGGGCCATGAAGATGACTCATTGGGTAATGGCACGTGCTACCACACCTGAAGACCTGAGTTCAATCCCTGGGTACCTACAATGTAGATGGAGAGAACTATCTCCTTCAAGTTGTCTCCTGGCCTCCATATGTGCCCTGGTCCATGTGCACCTATACACACACACAAATAAGTAACCACAAAATAAAGAAAAAGACAAGAAAAAGTGGGGCATGGTGGTGCTTGCCTTTAATCCCAGCACTTGGGGGGCAAAGGCAGGAGATCTGGATCTCTGTGAGTTCAAGACCAGCCTGGTCTACAGAATGAGTTCCAGGACAGGCTCCAAAGCAATACAGAGAAACCCTGTCTCAAGAAAGGAAGAAAGAAAGAAAGACCAAACAATCAGAAAAAAAGGAAAAGAATGAGAAGAAACTCAAGCTGTTCCAGATCCCAGATCTATGCAGTAGGAAAATGAAATAATAAACAAAACTTCGTCTACAAAGCAAGTTCCTGAACAGCCAAGGCTCTTACACAGAAAAACCCTGACTCAACAAACCAAAGTGAAACAAAACTTTCAGCTTGTATAGATTAGCCAGATGTTGAAGTCTTCCTTCCTGAGTGACCTTGAGCTTGTTGTGTAACTTCTCCAAGATCAGTTTCTTCAACTATAGAAGTGGCCAGAATAACCATCTACTCTTCAGGTTGTGTAAGAAAGAAATAATCACAATCCAAGGATGGTTTGCAACACTGAGGGCTTCCCCCAATTTTCAAACCAAACTGGTAAGCCCCTTTCAGAAGGAATGGTGGGAACTGAACAGAGAAAAAACAGAGATTAAAACTGCCTGGGACCAGCTAGAACTCCAGCCTTGATTCATTTGGCTTTGAATAGCCAGATTTAGATGCAGATAAGCGTCCTTATATGAGCTTTTAATCCATATGGGACCCAAGACCTGGTTTTCTGACTTTTCTGTGTTGGGGCATCAAGGGAGTCACGAAGGTTGAGTCCCAGTCACAGATGCACTGTGACCCTCAATTAACACTGTAAGACCTGAGACCTTGGTCTCCTAAGCCCTAAAATAGACCACTAAAGCCAAATCTACGTGCTACCACCCAGAAACCATTTAGCCTGATACTCAATTTTGTCTGCAAGAGAGTTTCATGCTCTAGGATTACACTTTGTGTGTCTGCTCTCCTCTTCCGGAACACATACAACTCTGTCCTGGGGCCCTGCCATACCAGCATAGGGGCTGTTGATCATTTACTTTGAACCTTGAGTTGGTGAAGGCCCCAGGGAGGGCTAGTGAGACCCCAGGAAAGGGCAGCCTGGGCAAGGAAGGTGTATCTGTGAACCAGGCACTTCCTAGAGTGATGAGATGCCCTACTGAGTGGTGCTAGGTGGTGATGGCACACTCCTTTTGGCAGCAGAGGCAGGAGAATCTCTGTGAGTTCGAGGCCAGCTTGGTCTACAAAGCAAGTTCCAGGACAGCCAAGGCTTTTAAACAGAGAAATCCTGTCATGAAAACAAACAAAAAAAGTCGAGACAGGGTTTTCCTCTGCAACAGCCTTGGCTGTCCTGGAACTCACAGAGATCCACCTGCCTCTGCCTCCTGAGTGCTGGGATTAAAGGCCACCACCACCTGGGCACCACCGTCCTATTTTAATTCCTTTATCCTGTGAAGAAGAGGCTGTCTCTGTCCCCATTTTACAGAGATGATGATTTCCACCCTGACGGACAGACTACCAAGGATTGGTCTAGTGAGACCAGGCTCCCCAGTCTGCTATTCCTCGAGGCTGTGCCGGGACCAGAGACGAGGAAGGAGGGGGGAGGAGGGGGAGGGGAAGAGGAGGGACCCATAGGAGGGCGGGGCCGTACTGAAACTGAGGAGCCTAGATCCCATGGAGGCAGCGAGCTATAGCTACCAATTCCGGATCGCTCTGCTCGGGGATGCCTCGGTGGGCAAGACGTCACTGCTGCAGCGCTACGTGGCGGGCGCTCGGGGGGCCGTGGAGCCGGAGCCCGAGCCCACTGTGGGCGTGGAGTTCTACAGCCGCGAGCTGCAGCTGCCCGCCGGGCTCAGGATCAAGCTGCAGCTCTGGGACACCGCGGGTCACGAGCGCTTCAGGTGCGGCGGGAGAGGGGAGGACAATGCCAGTCACCTGCGGGCACCCATGCTCTCAGGTGCCAACTGCAGGGGCTCAAACAGGGATCCGTGGTTCCCACCCTGCCAACTCAGGGTAGGAGTTCCTACTCAGTCATTCATCCTACAAATCCCACAGGGTGGACCAAGCGAGAGCCACACACACTCCCGCCCTCACCCCCAAAGCCCTTACCCAGCCCTAAAGAAAATGCCAGCGTAGGGGAATTTGCACAGAAACATTGAACTTCCCAGAGAGGTGCATGACCTGGGTGTAAGAGACAGCTCAAAGGGATGGGAAGGCAGCAAAGACTAGTGTGGAGCATGGGTGGGAACCAGAAACAGAACAGGTTCGAACAGGGGACTGCCCCCTTCCCCCACACCTCCTGTAATCTCCCTCAGTGAGGAGGTGTGAAGGCAGGAGATCACGGATTAAGGCCAGCCTGGGCCATGCGAGACGACGAGTAGGGATGAGTGGAGTGGAGTGGGAAACCTGTGGGTCTGGGTGGGAGGAGGACAGCCTCTGAGGCTTTTTTTTTTTTTTTTTTTTTCTGTCTTAAAGATGTAAGACTCTTCTAATTTACCCCTCACCCCGCAGGTGCATCACCCGATCCTTCTACCGGAACATGGTGGGTGTTCTGTTGGTCTTTGATGTGACAAACAGAGAGTCCTTTGAACACATCCAGGCCTGGCACCAGGAGGTCGTATCCTCTCAGGGCCATGACAAGGTGATCTTCCTACTGATTGGTCACAAGTGCGACCTGAGCACCCGATGTGTCTCCACACAGGAGGCAGAGGAGCTGGCTGCCTCGCTGGGCATGGCCTTCATGGAGACCTCGGCCAAAAGTAACTGCAATGTAGACCTGGCCTTTGACACTGTCACCAGTGCCATCGAACAGGCCCTACAGCAGGGGGACATCAAGCTGGAAGAGGACAGGGCAGGTGTCCGGCTCCTCCACAGAGCCCCAAACCCTAGATCCCCCAGCAGCAGAAAGCAGGACTCAGGCCTATGCCAGTGTTGACTCTGGGAGAGAAAGGGTTAATGTGGTGCCAGCCTCAGACCCCCAGTGAGACTGGAGGGCAAATGACCAAAAGACAACTGTCACCTGCCTTCTAACACTTGGCATTACTTTCTTTGTCGGGATTGCACACAGGGTTTGGCTAGCTGCGGGCACACTCAGCACTTTAATAGTTTATATTTTCAGAATGATCTTGCTAAGTTGCCCAGGCTGGCCTTGACCCTCGTCTTGAGTGATTGAGATTACAGAAGTGTTCCACTAGGCCAGGACCTCTCCTCAGTTTTTAGTTCTGAGCACAATTCCTTTTTAGGGGGAAAAAAAAAAAAATCTAAGATCAGGTATACAACTGAATGTCATTTACCCTAAGTTTCCTTTTCCCTGAGTGTGATGTGGCTGTCCACAACCAAATGTAATCCCCAAACTTGGGAGGCAGAGGCAGGATCAGGAATTCAAAACATCCCCAGCTTCAGAGAGTTCAAGGTCAGCCTGGGCTACATGAGATTTTTGCACAAGCCAAAAATAAAAACATTTTAAAATTTCTTTTAATTCCTCTGCATAGGGAGGTTAAGACTACATAAGGGGCAGGCTTGCTCACGCAGAGCCTGCCTCACTGACAGCTGATACCATTCATGTTTCTGGATTCTTTTCTTGGCTACAACATGGTCATTTCTGGCAGCATTCCTGGGCTGGAAGACAGCTTCCCAGCATCTGTCTTGCTGGTGAGGTAGTGCTGGGGAATTCCAGCACAAGCTTGGGTTAGCACTTCCCCAGCCCTTAGAAGAACATGAGTCTGGCCTTGGCATACATCGTTTCTCACGTTTCCAACCTCAAGCTCAGTAACTAGAGTTTAATTTTGGGGTTGGCCATGAATGAGCTACAGACTTGTGGGATACATGGTAGACACATGGAGAGCCACCAGGGTTTTGGATGATGAACCTTGACTTAGTGCACTGCCTGGAACCTGCTTATGCTTAGCACCACCCACACACACCCAACATCTTGTCTATGGGAATGGTGTTAAAGAGCTAGCCTTCTTCAAGGCATAGAAGCCCATGCCTTTAACCTCAGCACCGAGGAGGCAAAGGTAGGTGGATCTCTGAGTTCAAGGCCAGTCAGAGGTACATAGTAAGTTCCAGGCTAGCCTGAACTAAGCTACACAGTGAGATACTAGCAAAACAAAGCAAAACAAACAATAACAACCACAAAAAGGTGGCAGGGCAGAGGCTGGAGAGATGGCTCAGGAGTTCAGAGCATTTGTTACCATTGTAGAGTACTAGTTCAATTCTCAGTACCCACATGTGGGTTAAAGCCACCCATAACTCCAGCTCCAGGGATTCTGATACCCTTGTCTAGCCTCCAAGGACATCAGGCATGTATGTGACACACGTACACACATGCTGGCAACACATTCATACAGGGGGCTGGAGAGATCACCCAGGGTTGAGAGCAGTGGCTGCTCTTCCAGTGGACCAAGTTTAATTCCTAGCAACCCACATGGCAGCTCAAAACTGTCTGACTCCAGTCCCAGGGGATTCAATGCCCTCTCTTTCGGCCTCTAAAGGCACCAAGCAGTTAGTGGTGCACAGACAACATGCAGGTAAAACACCCATACATATACTTTTTTTTTTTTTTTAAGATAGGGTTTTACTGTTTACACTGTGTAGCTCTGGCTGTCCTAGAACTAGCTAGAAACCCTGTCTCAAAAAACCAATAAAAAATAAAAATAAATAAACCTAAAATGCTTGCTTTACAATAGGAAGCACAGTGGCATGTCTTCACACACATACATATTAAAGCACCAGGCAGATACAGAAGGGTCAAAAATTCAAGGCCATCCCCAATTACATATTGAGTTTGAAAGTTTGAGGCCTGACTGGGCATCATAGCACACGCCTTTAATCCCAGCACTTGGGAGGCAGAAGCAGATAGACCTCTATGAGTTCAAGGCCAGCCTAGGCTACAATTGAGTTCCAGAAGAACCAGAGCTACACAGAGAAACCCTGTCTTGAAAAACAAAAAATAAAAACAAAACAAAAAAATGAGAGAATCTGACTTGCAAGGGGACCTGTAGGCCAGAATGGCCAAGGGTGATCATGGAGGCTTCCTAGCAGAGATGGCGCTGATGGTGAGTGTTGGTCAAAGTTGCAGAGGCATCTTCATGATGTAATTGTGCCAACAGGCATGAGCATGGTATAAGCACTTAGGACCAGCAACCCCTCCTCCCTCTTTTTTTTTTTTTTTTTTTTTTTTTATCTTTTATTGGTCTGTTTTGGGATTCATTTTGTTGTTTTCTTTTGGTTTTAGCTTGTTTTGGGTAAGATTTGTGGCTGGCCTGGAAAGTGCTATGTAAACTAGGTTAGTCCCTAACTCTCCATGATTTTCTTTGAGCTGCCTCTGGAGTGCAGGAATTAAAGTGAAGCTCACTGTGTAGCCCAGGCTGGCCTTAGCCTATGCCACCTTGACCAGGTGATCTACTATTCTTGACTACTACGTCTCAGAATGTATCATAATGTAAGCTTATCAGCCTCTAGCTAATCAGTCCCAAGGCTGAAAATGCTGTAAGACTCTGTCTGAGTCTGGGCTGGTGCCTCTGATGCCAATAAAGGGATCACTACCAGTTTGAGGTCATGGTTCCCAGGCCAGTCAGGGTTACAAAGCACAATATTCTTAACAAACAAAACAGAAAGCCTGGGCATGGTGGCACAGGCCCTTAATCCCAGCACTTGGGAGGCAGAGACAGATGGAACTCTGAGTTCAAGGCCAGCCTGGCCTACACAGAGAGACCCTTCAGTCTTGACAACTGAACCAAACAGCCGGGGCGTCTATGGCACAGGCCTTTAATCCCAGTATTTGGGAGGCAGAGGTTGTAGTGAGATAGTCCTTCTGTGGCACTGACCACGCCCATTGGGGGGTGGAGCCATGGGCGGAAGTGATCTGTGGAAGGAAGTCGGAGAGAGAGCCTGGAAAAGCTCTCTTGCTGGCGTGACTCGGACATGAGAGCATCGGGTTGAATTTCCTGGTGTTCATCTGTCTAGGTTATTTCTCCCTGAATAAACATCTATTTGGCCTATTTGTTTATCCTGATCCTTATTTAACCGCAATAAGAGGTTAAGTGGATCTCTGTGAGTTCAAGGCCAGCCTGGTCTACAGAGCGAGTTCCAGGACAGGCTCCAAAGCTACACAGAGAAACCCTGTCTGGAAATACCCCCCACCCAAAAAAAAAAAAAAAAAAAAAAAAAAAAGAAAGAAAAGAAAACACACACCACTGAACACAAAATAAAACACAAAAATTATCTGAAACCTACAGAGGTTTCTCCATTTGGCTGTAGCCTATCTAATGCCCTCGTGTTTGTCATTGGTAAGCGGACTTACTTATTTCTTTTGTTCTGTGATTATAAATGTTCATAAAGTCTTGCACGATGTTTGTTTTTGAGACAGGGTTGCGTGTGCATAGGCTGGCCTCTGACTGTGTAACCAAGGTAACCTGGAACTCCTGACCCTCTCCTTCCACCTCCCAAAGAGCTAGGGTCGCAGGCAGGCACCACCACGCCTGGTTACTTCTTCCACAGTGGGACAGGTCATTCACGGTAACTTGAATCAGCTGTTCCTTGTCATAGTCATTCAGACTGGCTCAGAGTAGGTAACATTCAGAAGCTGAGACAGAAAGATCTGAGTTCCAGGCCAACCTTGGCTACATAGTGAGAAGGATCTCAGAACACCAAACAAATGACACAAAAAAACCCAACTAGTTAGGTTTGGGAGAAGAAGTCTGCCACCCAGGCCTGGCCCACTCAGAGGAAAAAGATGATGTCATTGTACCCAATGCCTTCCTGCAGCGTCCAGAGGGCTAGAATCACACACCTGTCCCTCAGCCCAGCTTCCAGCTGCAAAATGGGATTACCAACAGTTTTGGCCTCACAGGGCTGTTGAGACTGACATGGTATGTGACCTCTTCTCACAGCGTGGCCTCACACCCATGGACCTTCTGTGGCTAGGGACTTATCTGTAACATCACAGCAACTTCTCCAAGTCCAGGAGTCCTAACTATTTTACAAAGACTCCATCATGACCACTCAGGGAAACTGACATGCTGAATTAGTGAACCCAGGCCCATTACACATTCCTGTAGCCAAACCCGAGGTGTGTCCTACCTCATACATCAAGGCTCCGTCCCGCCTGGGCAAACCTACATTGATGTGAGGAAACCATAGAGACACTTGAGTGGCTCCAAGGATGTGTCCCTTCACGATGAAGATGCAGCCATGCAGCCATGAGAACAGCCCCTGCTGCCTCTACCACGTGGGCTGTACCAGCTTTCAGGGTCCCTGTGCATATGCTCTTCCCCAAGCCCCAGAGGGGTGGTCTTACCCTCCTTCACTTCCTTCTACCACCTTCCTTCCTACTCTTGTCCTAATGTCTTCCTCCTGCTCCTTCTTGGACAAGATTTTTTTTTTTTTTTTTTTTTTTTTGGTTTTTTGAGACAGGGTTTCTCTGGATTGCTATTGGACAGGATTTTATGTGTCAGAGGCTGGTTTTAAGCTTAGAAGTCCTGGTAGAGGTGACTGTCAATTCCAAATGCTTCTACCACAAGCTCCTAACTGCTGGGATCACAGGCATACACCAATGTATCTTATCAAACCCAAGGCCAGGTGCATGCTGGGCAAGCGCTCTACCAACTGAACTACATTCCCAGTTGTTTTATTTTTTGAGACAGGAGCTCACTAAGTAGCCCTGGAGCAGAATTCCAGGCAGTCGTCCTGCCTGTCTCTTAAGTGCCGAAGTTACAGATACATGCCACCGTACCTAGCTATTGAGGCCTTGTCTTTCCTAACTCCACTAAAACCGTTATCTCAGTTTTCCCCTCCTTTTCCTGGCCCACCCATACAGATACAGGGGGCCTCTTCATGATGGTTTCATAGTCCTAGGTGGTCCTTCAGTCTTCAGCACTTATCCTGATGTTATAGTCAACTACACACACACACACACACACACACACACACACACACACACACACAAACTTTTAGTGAATTTTTCCTCCTAAGACTCCTTCAAGGGTTTCTCCTTTATC